TGGAGGGCTTTTTGGGCTGGATATCCGAAGGGTCCTGGAGCTGGCCTGCCAGAGACAGTCAGGCTCTTTGCCTCCAGAACTGAAAGCTGGTTATAATGTAAGAAAAATCTGCAAAGAACAAAGATCCCCTCCTTCAGGGGCTCATTTGCCAAAATTTCTGTAATGAAACACAGCTCCATGCTGAGTGTATCATCCCCAGTTGCATCTCCCATGGCTGCTCAGAAGACATGCTATCATCCAGCAGTTAACATGCTCAGCATCTCAGCATCTGGAAATGCAAAGAGCAAACATGACAAGCAAACCTGCCAGCCACCACTCTGAGCATTCAAGCTTTGAGTGACGCAATGTGAGAGGTGGAGTAAGATCCAGAGCTTTATTTCTCAGCTTCAGAAGTAAAAGCTCACATTTTGCTCCTGTGAACAGGAATGTGACTTGTGTGACCAGGTCCCTGTGTTAGGCAGCTTCATCCTTTCAGCTGCAAAAGGAGAAGCAGTGGTGGAATTCTGGCCAGTTTTTCTGAAAGACAGAAAAGGAAATTGGGACAAAGAAACTTACTTAACTTCTTTGGCCTCCTTAAGCTGTTGACTGGTGGATGAACAGACGTAGCTACATAACATCAGCTGAATGCAATTAAATATACTGCTTGTCTTTGCAGATGTCCAGGAAGGTTCCTGTATATACACAGCACAACATGTGGGAGGGACAGGACTGCACAGCATGTTGGGACAGTCACAGTGCCTGGCAGGTCATGCTCAGTGCTGGCCAGGAAGCTGAAGCACATCAAACAGTACTGGACTCTCTCAGGAAGTCAGTGGTTCCACATCATTTACACTGTCTTCTAAATAGGCCATAATTTAAACTGCCTCAGATATAATGCAAGAATTCAAAACACTAGGCCGGGGATGGTATCACTGTTGAAACAACAGCTGAGTCCTCTTGACTATGATTACACTTGGATGTTTTGGCTAGATCTTATTTCCACTCCTATCAGCAGCAGGAGGTTTCTATCCTGACCATCCCAAGTGACCAAGAGAAGTGTCAAAGCCTCTAAGATGGAGGACAAGTCTGCTGCCTGCTCTGCTGCCAGCACAGCCTGCTGTTGTAGCATAAAGGAATAGGCACCTCAGAAAGGAGGTGCTGATCAGCAAAATCTGCACCCCTTTCTCCCAGCACACTCAGGAGCCAAAGCAAAATATAAGCTATGGTGACACAATGTATGTTGAGAAAGGCAGAGGATGTATCATGAAAATTAGTCAGATAATGCATTGATTAAAATAAAAATAATAAAATCATAGAATGATAGAATGGTTTGGGACCTTAGAGATCATCTAGTTTTAATTTCCCTACTGTGGTCAGGGATACATTTCATTAGACCAGTGTGCTCAAAGCCCCTTCCAGCCTGGCCTTGAACATTTGCAAGGGTGGAGTGTACACATCTTCTTTGGGCAACCTGTTCCAGTGCCTCAACATCCTCATAGCATAGAATTTCTTCTTAATTTCTAGTCTAAACCTGCCCTCTTTCAGTTTCAAGCCTTTTCTCCTTGTGCTATCACCACATTGTCAAAAGTCCCTTTCCAGCTCTTCTGTAGCCACCTTAAGGTACTGGAAGGTGCTATAAGATCTCCCTGGAGCCTTTTTTTGTCCAGACTGGAATATTCCCAACTCCTTCAGCCTGTCTTCATGGAGAGGTGATCCAGCCCTCTGACCATCTTCATGGCCCTTCTCTGGACTCGCTCAAACAGGTCCAAGTTTTATGTTGGAGGCCCCAGAGCTGGACAGAGCTCTCTTGGTGGGGTCTCATGAGAGCCGAGTTGAAGGGGAGGATCACAGTCATGAGATGCTCCCCTGCTCACTGTGACACCATCGGGCAATCACAGCCACACCTGGTCTCAAACTGGGGCTTAAAAGCTGATGTGAAGAGTGGCATTTCCTTCTGCTGCCTCTCTATGACCCTAGCACAGCTTTGAACTGAAAAATTAACTTTGTCTAGAAGTACCGGGGGTTCCCTGAATGACAGGAAAAATGTGCATATGAAGGTAGACCATTTGCTGCTGCGTAAGGGTCCCAGTCACTTAAAGACTTCATTTCCTCTTCTTATATCTCCTTCAAGCTCACAAGTTTACTGTTGCTTTAACTTTCTATGCACACAGCTATTCTTAGATTTTGCCTCGAGGAAACATATCAAAGCACTTTTTAAGGGGAATGTGGTCCCTTGAGGGACCTAGAGGCATTGCAAGCAATTTAACTGTCAGGAGCTTTATGTTTTAGAATAGATATGTTGGTGCTTTTTTAACTACATTTTTTACTATGATACTTCCACAGTGAAGAACCTGAATCTTCAACTCCATGAGTAGAGACATGCAAGAGCAATAAATGGAGAAAAGGCAGTAAATGGGAATTTGGCATGTTATACAAGTGTTATTGAAGCTTCATGAGAAAATCCCTAACAAGGATGGTCTAGAATCCTTTTGTAACTAAATCATAATTTAAAAATTCTATTACTTTATCCGCACGTCCGATTTTGACTCATGTTCCCCGCTATTTTGTTGCCAATGTGAATAAGGCAGCAGGATGTTCTCAGACATCCAAGGACATTTCAGTCCTGTGAAATGATGGCCCACTTACAGAAACTCAGTATCTGTTTCTTGTTCCTTCTCCCCTGCATTCAGATGAGATCCCTTGTTAGCTGTGCGATCAATAAAAAACATTTCTTCAGCCACAGGTAAATCTAGTTTATTAAAACACAGTTCTGACAGTTAATTCAATTGCCAACAAAGTGGTAGCGTGATCAATACAAAAAAAAGTGACCTTATAAGTGAGATACATATATCCTCTAAATGCAAAATTATCTGACAATCGCGTGCACTGGACATATACAGACAGAAGAATGCTGGTGAGATTAGACTGTGGCCAATTTTTTGCATTCTCTTGCAGTATTTGAAATAGGTGGTGTCTCATAAGAAGCTTCAAGCTTGTCACTTGTTGCTGTTCAGGTTTCCTCCTGATGGGCGAAAACCACAGAAAAAGAGTTTCCCCTTCCTTCCAATCGTGTGCCTGCTATATCTGCATGATTACCATCTCAATCAAATTCCCATTGCAAACCACTGCTAATATTACCTTTTTCATCAACAGCAGGGGATCAAGGAGTTCACATGGCATCATTAGGTCAGCTCTCCGGTATGCTGCTGCGCTATTGAAATAAGGATTTGGAGAATGAACTTTAGTGAAGACTTCTGATAAAACTCTGTGCTTACATCAAAGGCAGCATCAAATGACTGCAACAGATTGAACATAACCCTTAGATAGCCAAGAAAAAATACATCTTTTCCAGTGACTTGCCAAGTACTTTTCCACCTGACCAGCAATTATTTGTTTTCTGCATGTTTCAGACTGAATTAAAAATAGTTTGCTGCTGTTATTTTTGTTTGGGAGCAATAACATTTACTTTATGGAGTTCTTTCTCCATAAAAAGTTCAGAGCATTGAGAAGTATCTTCACAGAGAGAAAGCTTCCTTTGGTTGAATTTCACGGTGAGGGAAAGTTTTCAGCATTTCTGTTAGTTTTCATATAAGCCCAGCTGCTTTCTTGGAAAATATGACTAAACTTCTTGTCTGTTTTTAGTAAAAGATGAGGTAATTAAACCTAAAATCTAAATATGGTCTAACTGAGTTTGGAGCCTGTTTTCACTTAGGTCTAATTTTTAGAAAACATATTTTAGAAAATATTCGGAGACTTACAAATGCAGACAGCCATTTGATGAAATTTTCCAAAGTACACACAGGAGTAGATTCCCATTGTTTCCTAAAAAAGCTCTCCTCCACCTTCTCTGTTGCCCATCTTTCTTCCTGTACCTGGGTTAGTGCTTCCCTGTTGCATTCTTTCATGTTTGATGTAGGAAATTCAAACCAACAGGAAGTTAATTCTATGAAAAAAGGGATCAGTTTCCTCCTCAGAGGAGACTGAAGATGAGTGATTGGGAATGCCTTTGGCAGCTGTTTGGTGTCAGACTGATTTACCTGTGCAGAGAAATTGATTTACCTAGCAATCTTTTTGGACCAAAATAATTTTAAAAGTTTGTCTTTGGATCCCTGCATGGGAATGGAACTGCTTAGCTTCAGCTTTGTGAAAAGCACTGGCAACACTGGGCATAAAAACGAAGTGTTGCAATGACCTTGAAGGAATTGACACCGCATGAAGAGCTGCAGGATGCAGCCCAGTGCTCTGGGCACTCACATCCTGCCCTCACTGCCAGCAGTCATCTTACTCACAACACTCCAGGGCGATGCCACTTGCTTGAAATCATTCTCTTACTTGACAACCCATGAATTGTTAAGCAGAATACCTTGGTGGCTGGCTCAGAGTGGAAAATTTAGAAATGTTAGTGACTTCTGGGCAGCCTGAGCCAGTGCTGGGTCCTGTTGGCCTCTCTTCCCGCTTTTTAAGTCAGCTTCAGTAGAAAGCATAAATGGTGCTTTATATTTCTTTAATGTGCAACCCCTTTGACAGTGTTTGCAATGGGAACTGGCAGGGTACTGTGAATGTGTAAGGAATCACAGTGTCTGAACCCCTGCACATGCAGGGAAATGGAGCACTGAGAGGTTCAGGCACAGACATTGAAGTGGTCAGGTGAGCACTTTCCCTTTCAAGTCACTCAGTATTGTGAAATGAAATAAAGGGACTCCAGTAGCAAGATGGATTCATTTCCATGCCTTGTCCTGGGGAGGGTGAACAGCAGAGGTACCCCTGCTAAACAGAAGACAACCAGGGATCATACCCAGCCACCTGTCCTCAGATCATCCAGGCTCAGTTTTGGTAACACACAAAGAGCTCTGTCCCAGATACTTCTGCTTGAGAGGCTTAGCAGTGAGCAGTAGAGCTGCAGGCTGGCCAGCAGCACAGCACACAGCCTCTGTCACTGAGCAGTATGAGCCCAGTCTAGAGATCCCATCAGGACTGTATATATACATATATATATATATATATTTGCAATTCTGCACCAGCTACCAGCAGCACAAACTTCTGATTTTTGCTTTGAAATTTTCAGCGGCAAAGTAATAGAGGAAGGGATCGAGGCAGCTGTTCGTGGCAGCGAGGCAGAGAGTGACCACCAGCGCCTTGTGCAGGCTGGCCTGGCTGCAGCTGCTGTACATCAGGTGGACAGTTCGCAGGATGTGATACGGCAGGAAACAGATGAGGGAGAGGATGAGAGTGATGACAATGGTTAACAGCGCCTTCCTGTGACTGATTGCCCTCCTGCTCTGCAAAGAACTGGACTTGAGCAGCGCTCTGATGGCAAAGACATAGCAGAACAAAATGGTGCAGAACGGCAGAACGAAGCCCACGATGAGGACAAAGCTGTTCATCATGAGGAGCCTGTGCGTGCTGGAGGGGTGGAGGTCCAAGCATTTGTCTGGGTTTCTGTAGCCAGCGACTCCCTTGTTTAACAGAGGGCTGGCAGCTGCCAGCACGAAAATCCATATGGCCACACAGGTGATCCTGGCACACTTCGTGTTGGTCACTTTTCCGTGTTTGAATGGGTAGACGATGGCTATGAAACGAACCACGCTGAGCACGGTGAGGAAATAAATGCTGCAGTACATATTCATGTACAAGGTGTAAGTCATGATCCTGCAGAGGATGTCACCAAATATCCAATGTGATCCCAAGAGGAAATATGAGGCCCGAAAGGGCAAAGTGCTCACAAACATGAGGTCTGAAATAGCCAAGTTCTGCATGTAAATATTTATCGAGGTCCTTTGTGAAGTCTGGAAGAAAACATAAACGGAGAGACTGTTTCCAACAGCACCGGGGAAGAAGATAAAGAGATACGTGATGGGATAAATTACTTGTTTGAAGCCGTCAATTGAACAGTTGGAGGAGCTGTCAGTGAAGCTGCCATTTAGTGCCACCTTGGAAATATTCATAGTCTGAGCCAGCATCTCCATTTTCCTGCCAAAGGGAAAAGAAGTGGTGTGAGTGCTGGGTTACAGGCTGGGCAGGGAGTTTGGCTATTTGGGACTGTTTCACTGAGGGCAGAAATTGCAAGATGCGGATGACAGTGGGAAGTAAGGGTTTGTTAACGAGTAATTACTTGTGATGTCCCAGTAAATACACATCTCAAGACGCAAAGCCCCAAGTAAGCTCTAATGAGTTTCAGTGCTACAGCAGCTGGTTGTGTTCTCAGCCTGTAGAAGTGCTGCCTTTTAGAGGTGCTGTGTGTGTGTTTTAATGACAAGTCTCTGATCTTTGCTGTGCAAAACAAGCCAACTTGCTGTCAGCCATTTTGTGGCAGGGAAGTTTTGAGTCCCCAGTCACCTACCATGGAAACATCAAAACCTGATCAGAAAAGAAATCACTGTCCACTGCTAGGCCTGCATTTCAAATTAGGATGGAAAACCAAAATAACTGAATCTGCCTTTTGGAACCAGGGAAATTTTTCTGGTATGTTTTTGGCAGTATTTCCTGAGCGATACCAGGCATATTTTGATACATGTAAAAACTAAGGACATTTTGACCTTAAACACTGTGCAAACACTGCGCTGATTATGCACAGTTCATTTTTTAACTCCCTCCTCGCACTGTATTTCTACTTTCTTGTTAGCTTCTGGTGGCTTTCTATGTCTCTTTTTGTGGGGCCTTTGCTCCACGTACCACTCTCTTAACCTCTTTTGTGCTCAGCTGTTCTGCACCAGTCAGTCATCCACACACACTGCAGCTTCCAGGGCAGCCCACATTTGCAGCCCTAATGAAAATGGCCTCTGAGAAAATGGGTTGTGCTCACAGAGAGAGACATTTCTCCTCTTGTGATTCAATCAAATCAAAACCACTCACCACTAAAACACTCTAAATAATATTTTTTTTCTCATTAGTGTCTATTTATTTTCTGATCTCTTGATTTCTTATCTCAGCTGTCCTGCAGCTACTAGTATTTTCAAAGGAAGGTGTCAGTATTGTTTCTTGTTTGACAGTGGGAGCAGTTCCCTCTTTGTATCTGCCAATATATTCTAAAGATGGGACATGGAAATTTTTAGCCTGAAAATCACAACTACATGGCATTTCCAGATGCATGGAAAAGAAGCTTTTAATTTGCCCCAGTGTGAGTGATAACACACCCATGGTACATGACAGCATCCTACCTCTTATTCTGAACATCACTGGTTTCACAATTTGAAACCAATTTATTTGTACAGGTGGAGCCTCCTTGGGGGTAAATTTGGCTTTACATTTACTTCGAACACCCAGCTACCCAGTGTGCTGTGAATGGGAGCTAATTTGCAAACTGAAGCCGTGGTGTGGGAGTCTGAGCTATGTTCAGAGCAGGCCATGGTATTTCCAGGGTTGTGTCTCAGAGTCTGTCCGAGTCCCTTAAATATAGCAACCAGATGTGCCCCAGCAGGCATCTTTTCATCCAGCCCCACTGGGATGGGAAGCATGGGAAGCACAACCCCAGGCTGGCCTCCCAAGGAGCACTTCATGGATACTGGGTCTCAGCAAAGCACTGGACTGACTAAACACATGCTCCTAAAGTTAATCTCCTCCTCCTTTAGGATCCTGTTTCTTCTCAAAGGAGAAGGAAAAGATATTCTTCTTAAAGACAAATCTTCAGCAATCAAAGGACTTTTAATTGTTTTGGTTTTCTTTATGGAACAACTGTCTGATATACACATTTTCTGTATGAGATCAAATTCAGCTTTTCTCCAAAATTAATATGATCCCCCTATTTTTCAGGAAAACATTACATCCTGAGGTACAGCAAAGGGAAGAGTGGAGGTTTCATATTTAGCCCTTCAGCAGCAGCACCCCTCCACCACACATCTTCAAAAGGTCTCTGTCCTTCTGTCCAGACATGGTACAGAAATCCATCCCATTTTCTGCTGGGATGCCATATCACTTGATTGACCGTCCTGTGTAAGAACAGGGGTAGCCCAGAGCTGCTGACTACTTTACTTGCCTTTCTCTGCACATTCTCAAGCTCCATAATCTCTGGTTTTAGTGTGGAGACAAGAACTGTCCACTATGGGAATGCATCAAGATTTTATGCAAGATTTGATACCCTACTTGATGGTGCCCTTCATTTTGCTGACAATTTTAGTTCTTCTGCTGTTGTAGCCAATGCAGAACTGACTTCAGCAAATGGTCAATGATGCCAGTGCCAAGTGCCCTTTCCAGTTTAAAGTTCATGTAAATAGGCACAATTTAGATTATTTTTCCCAACATGCATCACCTTACATTAAAATATACTAATTCTCATCTGCCCCCCTTCCAGCATGGCATCTGCCAACATGGAGAGCTGTCATGTCCAGACTGTTGATAGAGACACTGGATAAATCTAGTCCGAGTGCCAAACCCTAGAGGACTCCATTGCTTATTTATTGAGTGCCCACTTTGCTTCCTACACTTCATTCAGCTTTCAGCCCACAAAAGAATGTGCCTTCCAGCTCTCTGGCAACTTAGGTACTTAAGAAACCTTTGTTGCAGAGCTGTGTTGAAGGCTTTGACAAATGAAACTCTATAAATGCACACATATCATAGAATCATAGAATGGTTTGGGTGGGAAGGGATCTTAGAGATCATTTCATTTAAAGCCTCCTGCCACAGGCAGGGACACCTTCCACTAGACCAGGTTTCTTAAAGCCCCATCCAACCTGGCCTGGAACACTGCCAGAGATTCCATTCCCCCTTGTCCTATCACAACATGCCCTTGTGAAAACTCCCTCTCAAGCAATCTTGTAGGGCCCCTTTAGGTACTGGAACATGCTTTAAGGTCTCTCTGGTGTCTTCTCTTCTCCAGGATGAACAGCCCTAACTCTCTCAGCCTGTCTTCATCGTCCTGCCATTCCATGGCCATCTCCAGCAGGTCCATGAAGTTCTCATGTCAGGGTTTCAAAGCTGAATGCATGGCTCAGGTGGGGTCTCACAAGAGTGAAGTAGAGGGGAAAATCTCCTCCCTCAGTCATATATGTACATCTATATATATATATATATATATATATATATATATATATATATATATATATATATATAGATATATATATATATTTATATTTATATATATATATATAAAAATATAAAATGACCACTGGGTCCCCTTCATCCACTGTCATCACAGCCCTTCAGTAGGTAAGCCAAAGAGGATCTCCCTTTTCAGAAGACATAATGACTTTTTCTCAGCAGACTGGCATTTCAATGAGCTCAGTGCCTTCATTCTTCATTACAGATGCCCCCAAAATGTCCCAGAGGAGGAAATCGGTCCTAGTGGTCAGTGGCTCCCAGGACTGATGACGAGCTCACAGCCTTGAGCAGCCTTATCAAGCCTTTCTGGTAAATGAGAGCTGCACAGATGACACATCAGTCCCCTGGCACAGCTCCTGATTGCAATGGTGGGTTACGTGCCTTGGCCAGCAGTCTCACGGCTGAGGTCCTTCGGGACACTGATATGAGTGCCATCTGGTCTCAATTACTTTTTGGACTCTCACTTATCTAGTTGGTTTAATACTTCCTGCCCACATCTGTTGAATGGAGCTGGCTCCCCTGTCCTTTTTACCGTACCAGCACTGAAAATATCCCAGCATCTTTGTTTGGGAAGAGTGAATTCCCAGAGTTTTCCTGCTATGACCTTGCTCCTAAGAGATCTTTTGCCACCAAACTCCCCTGCCAGTTCCCAAGTGGTTTTTCATCTTCTAGTAGGTTTACAAAACTTACTGTCAACCCAGAATATCCTTTATCAGAGGCTCTTCACTATTTTTTTTCTTTAATGCTCCTGATTTCCTCTCCTCATTTGATCTGTCATGATACAGACTTTCCTGTTTTCCCCATTTTGACAAGCCTTCTGCTTTCCAAATGGAGATATTTTCCTTATAGTAGCCTTGGTAACTATTTTACTGGTAGACATTGGGCTCAATATTTCTTAAAATGCCTATTTCTTTTGGAATGTAGGCTTGTTGAATTTTCTGTTTGTTTCCAGAAACAAACCCCCAAATTTATATAAGCTTCTTCCTCTTGAACTGCTTCCCTGTCCCACAATGCTGTTGAGCTCAGCTCTACTGTGATTAACAGTACAGAGCTACCTCCACCAAAACCTGTGCAGCTCTAAAGATCAGATGGCATCTTGTAGAGGTAGAATGCCAAGGTAGAATGGCATCTTGTGTTGCTGATATTTTTACAGGACTAATTATTCTAGGAATCAGGAAGTTGTTGCTTATGGACATAGCATCTCATCCTGCTGCAGCACTGCATCATTATACAGACACCCCAAACCTCCTCCCATTGCTCCCTGCTTTCTTCTTCCTACCCTCACTTAATGTGCTGTGGCATTTGTCATAACCTGCTAAGGAGCTCAGTAGTACTTTCCTAGCAGTATATTTTTATTATTAGAGTCTGCCTACAAGAGCGCTGTTGTGCTTCTCTTCAGCCACAATATTTTTACAGTGTTGTGAGTTATGTAGTCCCTCCTGCACAGTGCCACTCCTCCACCTGAGCATCCTACAGTATCATTACCATAAAGCTGGTAGCATGGCAACACAGGCTCCTCTTGATTGTCCTTTCTCCTGCAGGTCTCTGAGACTTTCTTTGTACCAGGGTTTTGGTCCAAGCCTGATGGGTGCTCTGTCTCTTTTTCAGGTTTGAGATCAGTGCAGAATTACACGTAAGATTTGGTTTTGATCAGACATTCAAGATAGCATGTGCCAGTCTATTGGATTTGCAGGCAGTTGGATCCTGAGATTAAAATATGAGAGGTTTGGTGCATTTTTATTAGCTTAGTGTCTTCTTCAATTAACAAATCTCCTCTTACTTTTGCTCTATCAGCCTACCTGTCTTGCACACCCATCCATTTGTTAAGGATGTAAAATTCACCTTAGGCAAGCAATGTCTTTCTGCTATCATCTTACCTAAATTGCACTCAAGCGAGGCTAAGATAAAAATAAGATATACTCATAATAAATATGTACAATTTATAACATAAATGTAATTTGTAACGAAAGATAAATATTTCTCAATAAAATCCATGCTAATCAAGCTGTAAATATTTTTTGAAGATTTCACAGAAGAAAAGATAAAAAACTCACCCAAACTCTACATCTAATCTACTCATGGAGCAATTATTTCAGAAAAGGCTCTCTTTTTCTATCTCAGCTGATTTTCTCTTTCTCACGCCAGGGAGATTGTCAGAGCCTCAGGACATGTGTCAGCTGCTTCCATTTGATAGCTTCCATCAGTGAAACTCATATATAGAAAAAATCTCCTGTTAGAGAATTTCTATCAGAGGAGTCTTGCAGTACCACTGAAGAGAGAATCCCATTTCAGTTCATCCTTTTCTTTCCTTTTTTTTTTTTTTTTTTTTTTTTTTTTTTTTTTTTTTGAGGACTGTTAGATCTTACCGCAAAACTTCCTTCTTTTGGGAGACAGAAAATTCCTGTAGGTCCAGTGTCTCAGCCTTAACCCATCCTGTTCATTCCTGACCCAGGAGACCATCTGGATATTTTTTCTGAAAATGAAGTTTATGGCCTGTCCTTAGATAAATAATTTATTCTGTATATCTAGGAGCCACCTCCTAACCTTAGCTGGCTAATAACAGTTCTTGGATTCAAGGAAGGCAAAAATTCTTCCCTCATCCTCTGTGGTTGGTTGAGGTAGTTCCACATGAAATATATGTTTCACTTCACCTTTCTTTCCACATTGATCTGTGTGTCAAGACACAGCTAACAGGAGCGTCTACACATGAAAATTGTATGGGTTATTGTTGGCCCTGTACTGTGTGCAGGCACCATGGTGCTTTAGGAGCTTTCAGTTGACTGGTCTCCAGTTTCTTTCTCTTGCACATGCCATAACAGCTTGAAACTCATGTTGGAATATCTTGGAGAGGAGTCTGAGAACTGATTTTCTTGCTAGAATCAAGGATACTGAATTTTCTCAATTGCACATGCGTTATTCTACTCTTAGTCTCGGTCTAGCTGGGAAGGGAATTGAGGAGCATTTGTGCAGTTAGAGGACAAAATAGCTGAAATGGTAGTTGTTGGATAGATACCCTCATATGAGGAGCCTGAGCAAAGTGCCTCAGCCCTGTGCTTGTATTCTCTCCCCAGGGTGCAGGGACCAAAGGGCTTTTCATCAACTGAATCTTCATTGCCAATCCCATCCTTCATCAGATAGCACTGGACACAAACCATCACTCGTAGTGCTGAGCAGGGCTTGGAATTTGTCCACGTTCTTCAACCTCATTTGATTCCTCTACTTCATAGCTTTCACACAAAACAAGAATGCTTCAACAGGTGGCAGATCTCTTCACGAATATTTTCTTGTGTTTTGGGGTTTCTAAAGGCAAGGATGCTTGGACCACAGGAAAACAGAGTTTTTCTGTGTTAATAAACCCTCCATTTCCAAACTGTTGATCTGAGATCTGCTGCTCTAGACCACTGCATTCACTATAACATGAGGAATGACAAAACAACTTCCCTTTAATAAGATGTTCTCCGTATGCAAAGTTAAATAGGGAAATCAGGTTGTTCCATCAAAATATACTACTTTGCTATGTAAAGTGAGAAGTAGTTAGAACCTCTTGTATGATCTTTGCACCTATCACAGTAATCTTTTGTCTAAAGAGAACCCCAGACATCTGAGTCTGTTTTTTTATTTCCCAAATAGGAAGGCAATTATAATATTGCTGCTATATAAGAGATAATTTGCATTTGCCAGTGCACTTCCAAGAAAAATAGAAGCTCTCATGTTTTTTTTAAAGTTCCCACTGGCTTTCTTGCTAATATTCACTTTGTGTTTCAGGAGCAGCATTACCAAGAATAAATGAAAAAAATTGCAATATTTAGAATCAACACTAAATTCATCAAAACATGGCATATTATTCACCTTTCTAAATGCACAATAATGGAGAAAACCCCAAGAGTCTGACATTTAACACCTTTTATTTTTAAAGTTCGCCATGAGCCAAATACATGTTTTTCATCTAGTTAAAAAACAAAGCTCTCTTAATCAGATCCACAACTTCATTGTTATCTTCCATCTGGCAAACAATCCTAGTTACATAAATCTACCCTTTTTTCTGCCAAAAAAATTTCTCAACACCAGCTTTGTCATAGAGAAGTTTGGTAAACTATCACTGTCTCTGGCAAGTAATACCCTAACTGCAAATACTGAGAAAGAAAAGTACGTTGTATTTTAATCATTGCAACCATTTTATCTACAGCAGAGAAAGTAAACAAATCTTGTCTTACCTCAGCTCATGGGTCTTCTGGTGTGTTCAGTATTTCCTTCTTCTGCTTGCTGTTTCTCACAGACTTCAAGGTTTTTAATGAAAAGGAAACCCACAAAAACTTGATGCAAAACCCGAGTGCTACTAATGCAGAAGCCAAAGAAAAATCATGAACAGGGTAAAGGGAAGTAAATCCTGATTAAAAGTTCTTACATATTCTTAAAATAGAAATGTTCTCAGCTCAGGGAGTGGTGCTAGCAATCACAGGGCAGTCTTTCATTATTTTCACCCAATGAAAGAGGTTTTACAGCTACATGGCATGTTGAGAAGTGTTCTGAATTTCTGTGTTTGGACCCACACTTCTATATATGTGCTTTCATTAGTCAAAATTGCCCAAAATATTAGTGGGATGCCCAAATAATCTTCCCAGGAATCATGAAAAATGTTCTTGGAATTAGGGGAAGGATATTTGTTTTGTTTACTTCCCAGAAAACACATAAATAGCAAAATTGTTAACAGGCTTCTGGGATTTGGTACATAATCTCATTCAACTCATAATTCAAGGCTGAGTTAACAAGCTGAGGGACTAATTTTCTTGAATTTTTATAGGAACAGATAGAGCTCTGCTAGGACAGGAGCAAATGGCTGCAGTGAATGCCTTACCCCGTCTTAAGCTTTACCCCTTCTTCATGGAGCAATGCTAACTACACAGATGGGTGCTCTGAGCCCACTGCTGGTGTAAAATAGGTTTCTATACACACTGTAGACATAAAAGCTTGATTATTTATGTTCTTGTATGTGCTGTCAGCATGTGCAGGTGGACCAGACACATCCAAGTGCTTTCTGGTTGCTGTGCTGTATTTCTTATTGGCAGCAGGTCAGGAGTCCACACAAGGACTAGGAGTGCCTAGCACAGCAGATGAAGAATCTCCAAAACAACCCAACCTTCTTGCCACCCGCACGTGTACTTATCTATACCCCAAAGTGCTTTGGATAAAGATTGTAATCTGTTTACCGCTTGTACATGTCAACTTGAGACTAGCCAAAATAGTCTTTTGGGTGTGCTCCTCATGTGGGGTCATGGTGGCAACGTGCAGTGGCTGCAAAGACTTGTGTCACCAGAACTTACAAATCCCGGGACCTGCAAACAGCTCTGTGGGTCCTTTTTTTAGCATGGAGGTGAAAAACAACATAGAAAACCAGCTTCACTAAGAACTAGTCTAACTCTTTTGGTCTTCAAGGTGGGCACAAAAAGCGGTTTTTGACACTTGCCTGCATTTGAGTTGACAGCACAAAGTCAACTTTAAAAGCTTCCCAACAGACATCCACATCAAGTGAATTTTCAAGGTGCAGCACGACGATGAATTAGGACCCTCTTGAAACCACTGTTTGCCAACTCTTGTGGCACCTAAGTCCATGGATAAGTGTCCTCTTCCAGCTGTGGTTGTGCTGGCTGCTTTGGCTCCTGTCCCAGCTGTTTCCCTGTCTGCCAAGGTCTGCCTGCTGAGTGGCTCCTGCGTGCTCCCTAACCCCACAGAGTCATTGAGGCAGGTCCTGTAGACCCCTGAAATAGGATATGTCTTCTCACCCAGGTCACATGGACTAAAGTGGGATGGAAATTATCCTGTGAGCATCTTTGTAGACAGAGTCCTTTGGGAAAGAGACAAGACATGCATCAGGGACTGAGGCCACATCAGCCAGTGAGACCACTGCCAAAAGGCAGCTTTGGCCTTGGTCTTCACTTGGGCAATGCCCCAGTAACTCAGACTGCATCTTTTCTGCAACTGGCAGAGACTAATTTAGGCATTGCAGTAGCAGTCTGATGACATCCCCATCACAAGGCATGTGGCAATAATCACTTTGGGACTGATAAGCAGGCTGTTCTCAGATACAGAATCAGAGACTGAAACACACAGAAAAGTTAAGGCATTGATCACATTTTATTTTCCTGAGCTATTTTGAGAACATCTTTTTCACCATGTGATATGACTATCTTCATTGCCTGGGTAATTTCCCACATTCACCTTCTTAAACACCCTGCTTTCTGGAGAGTACTGCTTCCTCCCTTTTATAAAGTAATTCTATGTTTTGCTTTAAGCCTGGCTTTGAATAAATGAGGTTGGCTGCCAACTCACCCTGCACCTGATGAGCTAGATCCGGAGTGACTGCTTGGAATTTTTTAGAAACATTCGCTGTATGACTCAGCTTCCGAGGGGAGTTTATTACATTTCTTACTAATAAAAACTTCAGTAATTCTGGAGAAGACATCTCAGAATATCATGAAGAATCAAAGACTTTCATCACAAGATACTGTGTGCATATCACATATTTAACAGTTAGGAGCCTAGTCCTAGTTCAAAGCTGAATTTTGAGTCCCTAAAATGCATAGATTTTTGAGGACACTGCAGGGTGCAAACCACCCCTCTGGGCTGCAGTCTCCATCCTGCCTCTGTCTCTGTTTCCTTTTGCATTTCTGGCTCCACAACAGCCCAGTTTCAAGACAGAAATGCAGGAGGGGGTTACTCATCCTATTCCTTCCCCTTGGTCATAAACACACATGCCCTCCAGCCCTGCACAGAGGTACTGCCCACATGGGAGGGCCCCAAATGTGTTAAGAAGCAAAGAAGTACTCCAAGCTAAGTAGAAGCAAAAATTTGTGTTCTCCTTCACCTTTTCAAAGTTTTCCAAAGGTTAGTTCAAGTGTCCTTGTGGGCTGAGCACTATCTGCTGGGAGTGCCAGTCGAGGAACCTGTGCACCACACTCCCTGTATAGGACACCTTGGACTTCCCAAATACACATCATGCCATCATGTGCTCCATAGGCCAGGCCTCCCCCTCCAGCCACCCTAAAGTCAGGTGAGTGCTGTCTCAGAATGGTCATCCCTACCTCCTCTTCTTGTGCATCCCTCCAGCACTGCTGTCTCACTGGGCAGTGCTCACCCGATTCACCTCAGCAGAGGTGCTGAGAGCACCTGAAGCCCACGTGGGTCTTGCTGGATGCACAGAGCCCAGCAGAGTCCTGGAAGCTCATCAGCTCACAGAGCATGGACAGTCTTGTGCAGCAGCTCCAGCGTCTCAGCCTCCCACAGGCACAAGGACTGTGCCTGGGAGACACGGCAATCCCCAGCACCAGGAGAGCTGGGTGAGATACCAGGTCTCCCAGGCAACCCAGGTGAAGGAGCCTGCATATTTTTCCAGTTGCTCAGTCAATGTTTTGCTGTCTGGAGGCACAAAATTCTAGTGGCAGAGTTTCACTTTTTTTCATGCCAAAAGATTCTTGGTAAAAATGGATCTGTCAAAAAACCAGAAGGGATTACCTCCATTGAAGATTTTAGCACTGCATGACTTCAACACGGCAGCTTAGCCTACTAACACATATCTATTTCCAGAGACCAAAATTACAAGCCTACATTCATTTTCTGTGCAATCCAGAAAAAAACAGCATCCAATGTTAGTAGCTCATCTGCTGTCAGCCATAAGGCTGGATGGATGGGAAGACAAAAGTGACAGCTGCATGAAGAAGGGGGAAAAAGCAGGATCAATTTTAAAAGAAATTATACAGAAAGGAAAAGCACAGACGGTTTTCAAGCTTTTTCTCCTGCAACATTAGTAATGACATCTTTTTTAATTGCCTGTGGTCCATTCTTATTTGTTTGCAGTTCCTCATTAAAATACTGTTGAGAGTGGAGGAGCATTAATATATAGCTGGAGTGGAAAAAGACACCTAATGCTGTCTTTAGGTAAAATAAACTGTTCTTTTTAAACTATGAAGCATTAAAACTGGCAATATGCTTGCTAGCTTCTTCAAAGGTGTCTGTGGGCCCTGGCAAAAACTGATTGTCTCCAAAAGCTGTGGAGCTGATGGCAGCTGGGAGAATTAATGCTCTTCCCAGAGAATAATCAATGCAATTCTTGATTCTGAAAAGACTGAACTGGAGCAAGACAAAACACCAAACATCTTCTAAGGCCTTCATCTAAAACCCATTGAAGTCACTGGAAAGAATAGTCTTTTGGGCTTAAAACCTAAGGCAGACTCAGAAACTGTGACTGTAAAAAAAACAACTCCTTGTTTTTTCTTTTCTCCAGCTAGCTAAAAGCATTTCAGATCTAACATGTGCAAGCTTGTCAGCACGTCAGGTATGTTCTGTCTTCTCCATGTAATGTACCTCTCAAAACCTTTCTGCAGCCATTTCTCTACCTTAAATCACCATGGTGCTGAAATTACTTTCTGCTTGTGTTATTATTTCTGGTTTGCATGTGAAACATTGCAGGACTGCAAACTGGTGGGATAATGAAAGTGTGGAATTTGAAGGATTTGGCAATGAATCTAATTACCTCTGTCTTAAGATTTGGTCTCCCAAAGACTTGTTATTTTTATATGTTGGCACATGTACGCGTGCATGCACACAGTGCTGAGTTTTGGTCTGTGTTTACCACATATTAAATGTTCTGTGAATCCTGAGAATTCTGCTGAACTCTCCTTCCTCACAAATATAGAAACTCAAAGCAAAACAAGCTGCCTTTTTTCTTTTTCTCACAATATCCCTGACCCAAGAGCTGGATAAAATCCAGCCACAACATTCTAAAATCAGAATGACCAGATGCAGATGCTCTGCTTCTTCTATCCAATGGCCAAACACCACTGTAAGATACAACCTGCAAGACCTTCCACATAGCCCACTACCACCAAGTCCACTTTCATATCAATGTACTCATTAACGATAGTCACCAAAAACTTCATGACAGACCACTATGTCACTCTCTGCACGATGTGAGACTTAAGTTCCCCAGTCTTTTCATCTGAGGCTGATGGGTCCCACCTGCCAGAAGTCCCTCTCCCTGGGGCATGTGGGAAATTCTTCCTCCAGGCATTGGCTGCTGCCAACACAAAGCAAGTTTAAATTTTTGTCCTCAGTCTGGATGTTAATGATGTTCCTTCAGATAAAACTCAGATGGGATTAGATCTCACTGGACATATTTTCTATCCTACTGACTTTGGGAAATGGTTTATTGTGTGCTGTTTGATGTTTTTTAAACCGTATTTTATAATGCCATATAAAGTTGTCTATAGATGTGATTTTAAAAGAGATCATAACATGACCTTTTGTCCCTTTTTTTCCACTGAGACTTTCAGGACAATTTCCATGTGTATACGATGGGGCATAAATACATTGAAAAAAAAAGTCCATTTATAAATGAAATTTCTAGCCATGAA